TTAAAATAAGCTCTTTGTTATGTTATGTTTCATGTACATTAAAGATATTAATTATATCTATTTTAATATTTGATGTGGTATGTTTGTGCAGTTTCCAGTTAGTTTATTATGATTATGTACTTGAAGTAGTATTGGCTTGTTATGTAATAGAATTGATATATTGTGGTTGTCATTGTTTGTTCAATGGTTTTTGTGTTCAAGCTCTGTATTTGTGTATTAATTTTGTTATGTAGTTGCATTGTGTAATATTCCCAGTGGTGTTATAAATGCATGACAGTGATTTATTCTATAGGATATTGTCTTGTTGAGTATGGTTGATCATTGACATGTAAAATGACACACTGATGTTGACTCATTGAATTTTTGAGCAGAAAACTTGAGTGTTTTTGGACTGAATTTTCATAGGGTTACCTTCACAAATGTTGAAAAATGAGGCTTCAACAAAATACATGCGACAAAGAACCTTTTGGTTACACTCCTGAATAATTGTTAATTTCTCTATATATTTATCTAGATGTAGACGCTCTCACTCTCCTAATGGTAGCTGTTCCCCTATTTGACCAACTGATCAGTGATTTGACCATAAAACTGTTAAGGAGATCTCTCTTTAAACAAGGGCCTAAATTTATTGAAGATATGCATTGATCTTCTGACATACCTTGATTTGATGTCTAAAAAGCAAAAGGATAAAAACAGCAGATTGAAGGATCTGATTTCCTGTAATGAGGTTAATTTTCCGTTTCCTGCTTCTTTCTAGCAGCTTTTAAAGATTCCTCTATTTGACCCCAAATGACAAATCCCCCCTTTGACCCCTAACCTTATATAAAGTGCATCACATCAGCTGATTTATTTTGGGAAATATTGTAACCTCTTTGCAGAATGTTTGAAATTTGGTTGGATACAATGAGAATGCATACGTTTCTTTATGATGCTACCCATTTTCTTTCTATTTTGAATCAAAATGATGTTTTGTGATTTTAAAACACATGTAGCCAACGCAGTAGAAAAACATTGTGATTTATTCTGCTTAAATTACAGTAGTTGAATTATAAAAGCTTTTCTATAAGGTACATTGATACATGTCAAATCCGATTCAGAGGCTTGTTTTACGATATCAGTCTGATTTTAGTCATAAAAGATTTCCCAATATGACCCTAAATTCTCAATTTGACCCAAGCGCTGCCAACGTGATTGAACACAACTACCACTGGGGGTTTGAGTCCCTTGTCGAAGTCGAAGAATAACTAAAACAACTTCTCGCTAATGTTTTTCAGCTATAATTTGTGAAAGGCTAGTCTTGAAATACACAGAATTTTTACATAACACAACCAGATTAGGCTGAAATCTAGAACGGCCTAAACTAAGCACGGCCTAAAGTAACAAACCTCGTGTCCCCGGTCAGCCATCTGCTCAGCAAGTTCCAAAGAATTGAAATATGGGCTATTTGCAATGGGAACCGTCATGAAAACAATCTTCGATTTTGCCTTTTCGCAAGCTCCATGGCTCTGCAACGCAGCCAGGGCAAAAGCGCAGACCAACATACCGAGAACGCCCATTTTCACAGAAAGAGAAGGTCACAAATCAATATCAACCATAGATCTATGATATCAACATTCAATAAGGGTTCAAAGGTCGACGTCCGGCATAGAACTGGAACAAGGAGCCGGAGCCGCGTCGATGGCGGGACAAGGATCCGAATTGGTACCCTGGGTACCAGTCAATGGTGGAGCGGCAGGGCAGAGGGGGCTACAGTCCCCAGTCAAAAGGTAATCTAAGAAACTTTTAGGTTATGTTGGAGCAAGTGCACAATTTTGTAAAATTGTAAAATTGGTTATGTGAAATTGGTAAAATCATTCAATTTTCTTGCAGTTTATCTCATCAGTGCCGTCGAAACGAAATATCAGGGAGGGGGTTGGCTGCCCATAGTATATTGTTACAAAGGAAATATACTACAGCTTGGACAATCATTGGGGGAGGCTCAAGGTATTGGCAAATGGATAGTCTTTGTACCTTATTTGAAACTTTTATTAACATCTCCTGTATCCTGCCAAATTTGACACTACTGCCTAAGGGTGCAAGTAAAAACGTTTACTGTTGATGCTTTACCCTTTGAGAATGACATGATGACAAAAATTTTGCTATTTGACACAATTTCCACTTTCAATTCAAAATGCAAATCTAATAGTTGTTTTGCAGTTGTCTTTACACAGTGGCCGAAACATGGGGGTGAGTGGGAAAATCGTTGGTTTCAGCGACCGCCTTTCACTCCAGGTGAATACTTGAACTTCTGCCATCCCCACTGCAGTTGGGACATGGTCTCCGTAGCTCCGACGCAAGTTTTGAAAACGGGAGAGTGCAAGAGCAAATTGAAGAGTCATAACTAAAGATTTTTTGTAAAAAGCCAAAGTTTTACGGAAAAAATCTTGCTGAGAAGACTTGGACTGACTGACTTAGTATATAGGTAGACTGACTTTCTAAAATGACCAACGCATAAAAGCAATAATTCATTAGTCTAAGAATTCTATTGGATGCTTTTACATTTTATAAAGACACAACAGCGAATCATTTCACATTCTTACAGTCAATAATAATAAGAAAACTCCCTAGACCCGTTTATGTCAACTACATACCAAGACAGCGACTCTCAAAAAAACTAACTGTGCGTTTTACAATTACGGATAAGATATATTCAAGAGCATTAATTCATTACTAAAATAAATATTGCTCAATTAATGATTCAATTCTAATCTTCCAGCAAGTCTCTAAATTCGAACTACGATATATAATTGTCAGTCTTTACCATAAGAAGGCAAAGGATATGATATGATAAACATGCAAAATTTGTTTGAATTTATTCAATTTTGCCGTCCTTACTGGACGTACAGAAACTTTCCTAAATAATCAAAAAAGGGAATAGTCTCGCCTGTATATATGAAAAAGATCCCTTTAACAAGGAACATTATGGACCTGAATGTCTATTAACAGCATTTTTGAAAGTATTTGAAAATGCAATAGAGCTCTGGAAAAGAAATTCCCTAACCTTTCATGTGCGTATAGAAATACCTTTCTTCCCGCTCGTTTTAGACTGATGGAGGACTGGAAAAACGGGTTAGAAAGCAACAAATTTATCGGTGCTACATTACAGAGGACAAAAAGTTATCTCTTGCTTGTACAAGATTACCTCACCGCAAGAAAACAAAAAAAAGTTAAAGGACACTAAAGCATCTGGGTAAGGATTGGAGGAGTCCCACAAGAGTCGATATTTGGCCCTCTGCTATTTAATTTTCATAAATCATATTTTGTTTGTACCTCAATAATGGATTACTGTGCTGCTGATGGCAACAAATCATCTGTCAACAAATACAGCTTAACTGTAACAACTTTTTAAGACCAACGCCTACAAATGTCTCGAATGTTTGAAATCCCTCTAAATTTCAAGGTATTGTCATTAAATTTGAAAAGTTCCATTAACCATCACAAATCCCACTCCCCAGGTTTTCAGAGGTCTCAATCTTACGCAATGTCTTAAAATTGCTACTGCAATTTCAGTTTGGCTAAATTCAAGGACTCGTGGTCAGACACCTCAAAGAGTCATAACGGAAAAGATGCAATTCAATTCATTATTGAGATTGAATTATCTTTGTTTAATGACTTAATATGTCATATTTTTGTAAAATTATATGAAACAAGCTATAATATGATAAATCAATACTAAATCTTACAAATAAAAGCGTTATCAAGCAACAAAAACGGGATACCGCATAAAAAGCTAAAATAAACATAAAGAAATAAAACTGCGCTGGGTTGCAAAACAGGCCTGGTCATAAGATTTTAAGCAGTAAACAGCTCTTCTAGTAATTTCCAGGTGAGCTATGTATAAGTAAATAAGAAAAGAAACAAAGGGAAATAGATTTCAAAGAGAGCAATTTGCGTTTTGGAACAACTTAGGAGAGCAATCTGTAGCTCCCCTCTGTCAGTTGAAGGAGCAAGAGGTATGGCTCTCCTCAAACAGCCAGACCTGCATTGCAAAGCTTCTTTGAGGACAAAGCATCAAAAATCAAGGCAATCAAGATAGTATCTCAACCTTAGCTGCAGCTCTCCTAGCAGGCGCTGGTACCAACGATCGAATGTATTTCAGCCAGCACAAATATGGAAAAACTATCCTTCTTCTAATCCTTCTTCGATTTCTCTCTACTCCTCCAGAGCAACGCAAGCAAGAATCTCAGCATTTTAAAGATAACTAAGGGCAACAGCACTGCAAGCGCAAGCAACAACACAACGACATCGACACAGTAGTATTGAAACCAGTACAGAGTGTTTGCTTTTGACTTCAAATGAGGCAGACGTCCACCATTATCAAGTGCATACTGAACAAGATCTCCGGCTCTTTCTGCACTTGATTTTGGCCAGCTTCGCATACGTTTTGACGTCATCTCTGCATGCTCTTTGTAGCTAGATGAAAAGAATTTTAAAAAAATCACAGTTAAACTTCGAATATCATATGCAAGGTGTTTTAATAATGCTAGTTTTTGTAACGGGAAAGCGGAAGTCAATATTATCGTTCAACTTTATACTAAGTTTCTATTACTGATAATACATTCTTCGATCATATAGGAAAGTAAAAAACCTAAAAAAGGGTGTTACCCCTTTACCCTGCTTGAGGGCACTTGGCAATGGAACATCAAAGATATTTGAGAGAGATGTTGGCGAAGAGTAAAGGGGCGCGTGCTTTTCTGGTAGAGCATCCAGTATGGCCTAAATATTGCACAAGTACAAATGGACGTGAAGATAAATTTGACTCTTAAGTTGCTTGCTAGTAAAGACAAAAGGCCTGGCTCACTTCTATAGACATTAAATTTTAATTAGAGGGTCTAAATACGAAATACAGCTCAAAAATCCCCTTCCTGATTTTAATCGAATGCAGCTGCACGTTTATCCGACAAATTAGCATTTATCCAGATTTCAGCATGGGTCCTTAAACGAGGGTACATCATTTACCTTGAATTGTATATGACTTCTTCGATAGTTCGTTGCCATGTATCTGCGTCAGCATTTACAATGTCAATAAACTTTGCCATTTTTACCCTCTTAGAGAACAGAATTGCATTATGGAACCGTTCGCCTTTAAAGGGCGCAGCGACAATCGGCACACCGTGATACGCAGCTTCAGCGGCTCCGTTTATGCCCATGTGACTAACGAAAGCCTTGGTCTTTTCGTGGCCAAGAATGTCATTCTGGGGTACCCATTTCAGTGCTTTCAGGTTTGGGGGGATTGTCAAGTTTTCCGTGGCTAAGAAAAAGATCAAGATAAATAAAATGAAGAAAATAAAGATAATGAATTTTTTATAGAATACATTTACTTGAAATAGATCGGTAGCTAATGTATGGCGTGTACACTTCATGTTCCGGATACGCGCATACATGTGTTGCGGGGTAAAGTAAGAATTCTTTAGTACGTATACATTAGATATATATATATATATATCAACATATTCAAATAGGTATTAAGGCACAAATGAATTAGGCAGCCTAATGGAAACAGCCGTTCAGGAGACTTCGTGGCATGCAGTATCCTGTATGATTCACATGCACAGAGTAAAAACATACTCAAGTTGATAATTAGGTTAATATAAGTTTTATAAGAGAAATAGATTAATAATCACACATTACATATTTAAATACAAAGACTGGGGTTAAGAGGAGTCAAGTGAGTTACAAGGAATCGGATGGACGAGTTGATTAAAGCCGCGTAATTGTAAGTAGAATATGGCAGCTTGAATAAAAATTATGTAGGCTTTTCTTGAGAAATTCGTTCACCTCTGCAACTTCTATTGAATCAGTCAGAGGAAAGCAATCAATGTAACAATTTAAGACTAGGTTTAAATTCTAAAGCTCCATCTTATATCTATCTGTTACCTCTGATTCAGCCTCTGTTGCAAGTAACGACATTTTGTATATACGCACTTATACAAAACAAGAACGCACTAACCTGTTCCTGTATGACCCTTGTCCTTGAGGTTATTAAGACAGATAGAAACTAAGTAACATGCAGGTAAACTCACATTTTAGTTTCCAAATGAACCTTTGTTTCATGCGTGAAATGGCAGTTAGAATTCTTTCAACAATGACTTGGTCCATATTACACACTGCACTACCAAAAGCAAGCAACACAACTCCGTGCTCTCCTGAGTTTTGCATAAACTCTTCAAGATCTTCAGGTAACTCTTTTGATGGTTTTGCCAACAATGGTCCAACAAAATACGTATCTAAAAAATAAAATGTTCCGAGCGAATAAATTTTCAGAATGATCTGACAGTTTCAGGTCCCCTCTGCATCATTTCAGCCACTGCTCAAAGAAATATAACGATTCCTCACTTGTATATGAAAAGCCAGAATGGAGCGAAAAGGGCAGAATAACATGACTGCCCTGTGCCCATTTTAAAAAGTATAAGCATATAGTATAAGCATATAGTTTTCGTCCTTTAAGAAAGATGTCAATGCAAAAGAAACGCCAAGAGGAGTGATTCGCCTATTTATTTCAGTAGTGTTTTGCAAACACATTTCAGCATTAGAAATGAATTACTGATACAAGCACGGTGGATACAAGCTATTCTCGCAAAATGACGAATTTTAAATATCTTGGAATTACACTATAATTGGCATATCACTTTTAAAACAATCATATAAAGAAAGCTTTATGCGTGTGATAACAATAGATAACTATGTGAATTTCACAGAGAACAAATTCGAGCAAGTAGTGCGACAAGGGCAGGACGCGAAAGTACGACTAGTACAAAGTAGATAGTTGTTCTAGAAACTGAGTAAAATGTTCGGGTTTTCAAATCCAAGCCGCATTGTAAAACTGTTAAGCGCGTTGAAAGTAATTTATGGGCAAACATGTCCACCCTAGTGGTAACACGATACATTATGCCTGGTATCAGATTAATCGGATCATGCTACTTGTGAAAATTATGCTTAAGTAAAGATGAGTCAATGAAATATAAAAATAAACCAGTGTAGAAGTTAAAGGACACCTGTAGCAGACTTTAAAGCCTGCGAGAAAGAAATAAAATGGCGTTTCTTTCTATAAATCGTCTTGCAACCATAACCGTATCTATCTATTAAATATCTTATAAATTTCTTCGTCTAGTCGATCTGTTGACGTTCAAGAGGTAAGGATGGGGACGACAAATAAAATAATGATGGCAATATATTTGTACATACTTAGTTAGATAAGGATAATTCAAAGAGCAAAATACTCACTAGGCATGATTGGAGAGACATATTGATAAGCAAAATCCATTGGCACTATCACCATCTCTGTTTTTCCAAAAAGCTCAGTGAAACTTTCTTTACTTTTCCAGTTGTATGCCGACTGTAGGTCTCTAAACCAATATGTTAAGAAAGCCTTCACAATGATATCCCTGATTCTATAGGTGAGAAAATTTTGTACTCGCTCGATGAAAGACATTTCATCAGTAAACGGACCTGTGACCATCGGGACAAAGCTAGCAAGATCGGGAACTCCAGTATATGAGGCGATAAAAGAATATGAAGCTGGGTGGAGTAATATTGTTGGCTTGTCATATATATCAGCAATATAGTGTCCACATGGCATCACTGATATTGTCACGATCATGTCTGCTTCTTGGATGACTTTCATTGTGTCGTTGGTTTTCAACATCGCAAAGCAAGAATCAAGAAACAGCTGCGATACATCTCGTACCGCATTTATAAAGGTACGGGGACCAAAATCTTTTGATACATCGCCTGCCAAATCTTGCAGTTTTTCTATCTTCTGTGGATTCGGTAATGGATAATCAATATGTTTTACAGTGCTCGTCCGTTTCTTCAGGAACTTGGTTGTTAGAATCGAGACCTGCAAATACATATAAAATGTTATTATCATTGAGGCTTCTTACGAATTCTAATCTGTGCTTCTACTGGGGACTTTCGAGAGCATAGGAGCATTGTTAAATATACAACGGAGTCGTGGGAACATTCAAATTGTGTAGGAAACAAGATTTAACGTTAGTTTTTACAATAGTGAATATACACTAATTAAGACTAACGTGTAAGCAAGATAAGAGGCGGATTCAAGTAGAAGTGGTACTATTGGTCTTTGAGCTCCCATCATAACCTCTCAATGCTCAATATATTCTCTCCAGTCAGAGACATTCAAAACGTTTCGTCTTATTTTCTTAAAAACGTTTTTAAGTCTCTTAGGTAATGTAGAAACTAGAAACATTTCTTGGTAAACAGACATGGCCAATTAAAATATATTTTTGAGCTTGGGGTCTTTGGTTCCTACATCACAGACCAAATCGAATAGGACTTTTGGTCCATGAAGGCAGTCGATTCGGTATGATGCACAGTAATGGACAGAACCCCTGTGACAGTGCTTCGAGTCGCGTTAGGATTTAGACGAAGAAGACTTCATAGTTTCTCACATTTTCTTGATTATTAAAAAGCTCCTTTAACTACAAAATCAATCTATTTATATTCTTTAAAACGGAAATGCTAAATACAATGGTTGAGTGACAGTTGGCTACTACGCATACATACATTAAATACTTACATGGGGAAGAGGTTACAGAAGTATACAGCGATCCTGTTACAGTCCACCCCTCGTTGGCAAAAAATTAGAAACTTGTTTATAATTTTTTCATACAATACGCGAAAACTAATTGCAGATTATGTAATGTCCATTATGATTGTTTGGTTATTTTTTTTACGACAATTAACGACATATCCGAGAGAATACTTCTTGATTAAGCGATATAACGTAAGTACCTCCGTGCAGTCCTCCTTCGAGTTGGAGGTATGGGCACGATTTTACAAGACCTCTAAGACGACCATTACGTGCAAGCACTTCCCGAGCGGCGGGAAAATGCTCGTAAACAAACTTACATGCCTGGGAAGATATAGCAGATTTGTTTGGTAACGTATCGAGGTACTTTCCGAATTCTAATGCTACAGAGGCGATGTCTGGATTGGCACTTATTCTCGAATCAACTAAGTCAGTATCGGGCGTAACTTGGGCGTCTTCAGGAAGACTTAAATCTGAAGAAGACGGGTCTGGAGCTACTACAACCTTTTCTATGTTGACGGGACGTGGAAGATTGTTCCCTGTAATAGCGTTACGCAGTGTTAAAAGATCAGAACGATTAAATGGGTGACCGGTAACAAGATAGGGACCGTCAAAATTTCGGATAAATCGAGATACTTGACCAGAGTTGGAGGGCCTACAGTCCTTTCTCACGTAAACAATTTTTCCATCAGGGATTTGTAGGTCTCGTGAAGCGGAATCATAAAGGTCGCGCTGGCGACGGCGTAAATCAGATTTTATGGCATCAAACTGGTTATGCGCATCTTTCATGTTAGATACTAATTGCTGCGCATAATGATCTGCAGGCAGCGCTTGTGGTGGGAGCTGCAAAGAAAGCGTTTCTGGCGAAGGGGCAGTACGGCCAAATATGAGAAAAAACGGCGTAATGTCAGAAGTTCCTGAAATAGGCGAAGTGTTGTGCGCATAGGTAGCTGGTTGTAAGAATTCTTCCCAGCGTTCTTGGTAGTTTTCACAATAAATGCCTATAGCGCTGTTGAGAAATCGGTGAACACGCTCTGTGGAACCATTTAAGCGTGGTCGATAGCCAGAGGTAAAAACCTGTTTAATTGAAAGTAAAGCTGTAGTTCTGTGAAGAACTGCATTAAGAAATTCTCCACCACGGTCGCTTTGTAAAACGGCGGGAAAACCGAAAAGCAGAAAGACTTCATGGAATAAGGCGCGTGCTGCTGTTGTTGCGGTTTTGTCCGGGACTGGAATAGCCCTGAGAAAGTTAGAGTAAGGACAAACTGCTGTGAGAATCCACTTGTTCCCGGAAGTAGAAAGTGGAAGCTCGCCTACATAATCAACACCTAAAGTATGAAAGGGGTGTTGATACAAACGTACCTGCATTGGACCGTGAGGTTGTTTTAGTGTTTTAAACCTAATGCAGGATGGGCAGCGACGAATCCAGTTTCGAACATGTTTCGACAAATTTCGCCAATAAAAATCTCTAGAAATGGCATTATAAGTAGCATCGCGTCCACAGTGCATACCTAGTGGCGAGTCATGGTAGGCGTGCATAAGATGCCTTAATTCTATCATGCCTACGAATATCGGGAGGGGCACTGCGAGAATCACTACGAGGGTTGGGAGAATGTGTAAACGCTTTACAGTTAAATCTAAAGCATTTTGAGCATTTATGAATATAGCCTCTTTTACATTGATTATTTGGCATCTCGCAGTGTGCTACGTCAAATTTGTTAAAGTAACGACAAAAGTTTGTACCTGGAGGGTCTTTTTGAGCTTGTTGGCGTGATCGAACATTTTGCTTCGCACGAGGAGAGTCTTGAGAGTTTCTCGACTGCATGTTAGGTGGCGGAGAGGAAACCAAGGCTTGGGGCTTCCATAGACCTTCGATGGCATCAGGCTTTGGAGGCTGGACGGATTCAAACCGTTTGGCAGCTTCAATCACTGCGGTAAGCGAAGAGAAGGGTGAATCTCGGCTCACGAGTTCTTTTGCAAGAGAAGGTTGTAATTTAAGCATAAATGCGTGAATTAATTCTACATCTGCGTCAGTACGGTGAATTCCAGGAATGAGTTTTTCCAAGGAATGCTGGGTTTCAAGGAAACGATGGGCGAAGTCGGCCACGGATTCGGAAGGGTGTTGGTACATTGAGTAATATGTGGCGAGTAGTTGGCGGATTTGTTGCTCTTTGGGAACCCCTCTCTGGGCTTTGAGTTGAGCAAGGCCAGTTTCATAGAGAAGAATGAACTCAGCATTGCTTGTTTTGTCGTCTATTCTAGCGGCATTGGCAGCTTCAAATGCACAGATGATGTCGAACGCTCGGGTATCCCGGCGGCATTGTTGTTTCAAATAGGTGAACCAAAATTTGGCAGAGACACCAGAAGAAGAAAGCACGTTTGTGAGTTGTTCGGCAAAACGATCAAGGTCTTCGCGGCCTGTAAACTCAGGGAGAGTGAGCTGTGGTAGACGAAGGGGTGAGCTTGTAGTTTCTTTGTTGCGAACAGATTGCGATAATTCATGGACGGCATTAGAGAGCTCTCGAATCTGTTGCTGAGTTTGAGAGGAAACATCTTTGGCGGTGATCTGTTGTTCTTTGACAACGGAGGCGAGACCACTGACAAGTCCAAGGACTTCTTCGTATGACATTGAGAGGATCGATGATCGATGGTAAAGACGAGCGGGTCCTGCACCAATTCTGTGACAGTACTTCGAATCGCGTTAGGATTTAGACGAAGAAGACTTCATAGTTTCTCACATTTTCTTGATTATTAAAAAGCTCCTTTAACTACAAAATCAATCTATTTATATTCTTTAAAACGGAAATGCTAAATACAATGGTTGAGTGACAGTTGGCTACTACGCATACATACATTAAATACTTACATGGGGAAGAGGTTACAGAAGTATACAGCGATCCTGTTACACCCCGAGGAGGGGGGGGGTTATTTAAACCTTTTAGTTACAGGGCGTCCATCCGATAACTATGAGTAATTTTCCTTGTGATCTGATACTTTTGGGTACCTGATTTGCGATGAACTGTTGGATAGTTATGGGCTAAACTAACACAAAACAATTCAAATAGAGAATAAATCAACAGATGTGTTTAAACTAATTATTATAGGAAACAGTTTAAATTTCTATGACTAGTGGTTTCTTACGTGCACAACAACAAAATTTTGTATTTTGACATTTTTGGGTCTTATCGACACTTTTTAGCTGATAATTCTGGGTCTGTTAAATTTGTTTTTGGTACTTTATGGTGAATTTTGATAACTGCGGATGGACCTCCTCCGCAGAGTCTATATGTCACTCCCCTAGACTATATGTGATTGCAGAGTCTATATGTGAGTATATGAGACTGTATATGAAAAGCTGAGTGACTCCCCTGGGGAACAAAAGAGATTCAATTGACATATAGAGTTTTAGAATCAGTCATCATAGTTTAGAAAATCCATTCCCTATTTCAGAACAGTAGTCACTACTTTCGAAAAGGCGCTTCACAGCTTACTTCGAGATCTCTCCTTCGTGGTGTTTGAATCTAGCAGTCGAGCGATGATGCCCCGATGATGAAAAAGTCGACGGACCTCTAATCTCAGCCACAACCACAAGTACCACAGAAACTGAAATAGCTAGGACAGGCAGAAATTACTTAAAATGTTGTAAATGTGGCATACATTAAGTACCAGAAGTTTCGGTGGGATTGATTTTCGGTGAAGCGGGACAACCGAAAATTCAAGAAATTTAAGTTCTCTATGGGCTGAATTGCTGCTTCTTCTCGTTCTTCAAAATTCCCTCGATAATGTTTTTAAACTTCTCAATTAGTACTTTCAAGTTGGACGCCTCTCTTTGTAATTCACATTGCGATTGGCGATCGAAAATATTGTGAACTGTAAACGCTGCCAATTAATTTTCGTCTGTGGACTAAAAGTAAAAATAAAATGAGATAAAAAAGGCCTACGCTAAATAAGAGTAGATGACATTCTTACCTTCTCTACAATTCCATTTATTGGGCTGACAACAAAATACCCGATTTTTGCAACTTTTATGATTGCGTTCCCGATCATTTATGTTGAAGATAGAAATTGTTTCATTTCTTTACTCACCAAAATATTTTCTTTCCACCGAAATTTTTCATGTTTTCACCGAAATATACACCGAAATTTCGAAAATATTACCGAAATTTTTTCCACCGAAATTTTTGGCACCGGATTTTTTGGTACTTAATGTAAATGATCCAAAAGTCAATGCCTGGGAGACAGTAAGAAGGAGCCTAAAATGAGTATTTAACTGTGGATAGATATAAAATGGTCTCGTAAAGTGTATTTTAGGTATGATCCGGTAGAAAGCTTTATTCATAGTGGCATACACATTTGAAAATTGTTTCAAAAGCTTTTCTGCAAAAGTATTTGCAGCATCTTTGAGTAGCTTTGAGCTTTCTGTTCACATTTGCAAAAGTTATTCTCGCTGTATCCCAACTAAAATAATTAAAGACAATAATTGTGTTGGCTTGAACATTCCTCCATTGAAATGAAAGAATGTGATGTTAATGCCGTATTCAAAAATGGTAACTCATTTTACAAAAATAATTACAGATCACTAGCAGTTTTGCCGTCAGTCACAACAGTTCTGACGAATCAAATATTGAAAGGTATACAGGAACAAAGCAATACGACGACGAGAATCCAATGTCACGAAATAAATTTTCAAAATAAATTAAATTTAAGAGTATACTAATATTTCGCCCTGGCATACAGGGCTTCATCAGAGTAAATGAAACGAACGAGTGAATGGATTTGAAATGTGAGATGGTGGTGCCGGATTGGTGGATGTTAAATGGTGTGAATGCAGCGCAGTGGAGAAAAAATGGGATGATGGAAGTGGGTATCAAATATTACCTTTATTTAACAATTTTTTTCTCACAAACACTCTGGGCATATTGTCAGAGATAAAATAGTATGAAATAAAACCGTTTGAATCGCCGGGTGGTGTGGATCTTTTTTTCGGGGTTGATTTGCATATCCGAATTTTAGTTATAGTGATACCTAATATGCCTTGCTAAAATTGGTTGAGACATTGGTTTATCCTGGCTTCGATTTTCTCAATCATGAGCGTGTGCTTAGTAAAGTGGGTGCAAATGGATTCAGTAGGAAAGCCTGCATGTAGCCATCTAGTAGGGAACTGGTCAAAGAATATTGCTCATTCACTTCCTAGAAGAAAATGCTATTTGGTGTCCTACCAGGATCAATACTAGGACCTCTCTGTAATCACGCTGAAAATAAAACATTATGCTATTCTCATCCAGATATACAGGAGGTTATTTAAAATCTTGAAAACGATACTGTTAAATTAAGTAATTGCTTTAAAAAACTGTATGAAGAGATATGCCTATTCCACTTGCTGTGTCACGACTTTGCTTTGATCACTTGTGTAGGCCCACAAAGCTAGGGCTTTAAGTTCCAGCTCTTACCTAGTGTATAATTAATCAAAATTGATACTTCAGTTGTTCTCCAGAAACGATGAACAACTAAAGGCTTCAGAATTGGTGTCTGAAAAGCTCAAACTTATAGTCAGTGGAACAGAACTGAGAGTACCGTCACTTGCAGTGTTCAATTTGCCAATTGCCGTAGTTTGATTCAGTTTGAGGCAAGGCTATCTGAAAAAAACTGTGACATAAAAATTGCATTACAGTGTCATCAAATCAAAAATATTTTGTCGGCTAATTCATTTCAAGCATCGAAATGCAAAAGCTTTTGTCTCACAAACTGTAAAAAATATTAAAAAACGAAAAACGAGTTCGTGATCAGCAGGTTCAACTCCTCTACACTAGCTAATCAAATGCAATTGCGAATTTTGGCTGGAGAGGCCTTTTAAAGAAAAGATTAGCTAAGTTTTTAAATTTAACATTGAACTGTAGATAATGGTCTTACTTAGATTCTTTATTTTAATTATTGTATTTTATATCAATAATGGTTGTATTAATAAACCTAGTGTGATAAAACACCATCCCTCAGCAAAATAGTTATCAGGGGTTTTCCAGGAAAATGAAATGTTGGCCCCTGTGTTGCATTATCAACTTGCAAAAAATGTGACAGATATTGCAATGGATTATTCCAATAAAAAATATCAAATTTATGAGTGATGTCAAATGGCTCAGAGTTTGTTTGGATCAAGAACTCAAATGAACTATTCATTTAATCACTGTCACACAGTGGCGGATTCAAGGGGCAACTAGGGGCAGTTGCCCCTCCCTCAACGAGTTGAAGCAAGTCTGGCGCCCCTTTTTTGGAAATTGTGCGCCCCTTTTGAAGAATGAGAATCAGATGAAAAGAGTTCTTGGCCCGATAGGTTAATTTGCTTCAAGGATTACCTCAAAGTTATGTTGTTTATTTTTAACTTTAGTGATTTGACCATAAAACTGTTAAGGAGATCTCTCTTTAAACAAGGGCCTAAATTTATTGAAGATATGCATTGATCTTCTGATATACCTTGATTTGATGTCTAAAAAGCAAAAGGATAAAAACAGCAGATTGAAGGATCTGATTTCCTGTAATGAGGTTAATTTTCCGTTTCCTGCTTCTTTCTAGCAGCTTTTAAAGATTCCTCTATTTGACCCCAAATGACAAATCCCCCCTTTGACCCCTAACCTTATATAAAGTGCATCACATCACCTGATTTATTTTGGGAAATATTGCAACCTCTTTGCAGGATGTTGAAATTTGTTTGGATACGATGAGAATGCATACGTTTCTTTATGATGCTACCCATTTTCTTTCTATTTTGAATCAAAATGATGTTTTGTGATTTTAAAACACATGTAGCCAACGCAGTAGAAAAACATTGTGATTTATTCTGCTTAAATTACAGTAGTTGAATTATAAAAGCTTTTCTATAAGGTACATTGATACATGTCAAATCCGATTCAGAGGCTTGTTTTACGATATCAGTCTGATTTTAGTCATAAAAGATTTCCCAATATGACCCTAAATTCTCAATTTGACCCAAGCGCTGCCAACGTGATTGAACACAACTACCACTGGGGGTTTGAGTCCCTTGTCGAAGTCGAAGAATAACTAAAACAACTTCTCGCTAATGTTTTTCAGCTATAATTTGTGAAAGGCTAGTCTTGAAATACACAGAATTTTTACATACCACAACCAGATTAGGCTGCAATCTAGAACGGCCTAAACTAAGCACGGCCTAAAGTAACAAACCTCGTGTCCCCGGTCAGCCATCTGCTCAGCAAGTTCCAAAGAATTGAAATATGGGCTATTTGCAATGGGAACCGTCATGAAAACAATCTTCGATTTTGCCTTTTCGCAAGCTCCATGACTCTGCAACGCAGCCAGGGCAAAAGCGCAGACCAACATACCGAGAACGCCCATTTTCACAGAAAGAGAAGGTCACAAATCAATATCAACCATAGATCTATGATATCAACATTCAATAAGGGTTCAAAGGTCGACGTCCGGCATAGAACTGGAACAAGGAGCCGGAGCCGCGTCGATGGCGGGACAAGGATCCGAATTGGTACCCTGGGTACCAGTCAATGGTGGAGCGGCGGGGCAGAGGGGGCTACAGTCCCCAGTCAAAAGGTAATCTAAGAAACTTTTAGGTTATGTTGGAGCAAGTGCACAATTTTGTAAAATTGTAAAATTGGTTATGTGAAATTGGTAAAATCATTCAATTTTCTTGCAGTTTATCTCATCAGTGCCGTCGAAACGAAATATCAGGGAGGGGGTTGGCTGCCCATAGTATATTGTTACAAAGGAAATGTACTACAGCTTGGACAATCATTGGGGGAGGCTCAAGGTATTGGCAAATGGATAGTCTTTGTACCTTATTTGAAACTTTTATTAACATCTCCTGTATCCTGCCAAATTTGACACTACTGCCTAAGGGTGCAAGTAAAAACGTTTACTGTTGATGCTTTACCCTTTGAGAATGACATGATGACAAAAATTTTGCTATTTGACACAATTTCCACTTTCAATTCAAAATGCAAATCTAATAGTTGTTTTGCAGTTGTCTTTACACAGTGGCCGAAACATGGGGGTGAGTGGGAAAATCGTTGGTTTCAGCGACCGCCTTTCACTCCAGGTGAATACTTGAACTTCTGCCATCCCCACTGCAGTTGGGACATGGTCTCCGTAGCTCCGACGCAAGTTTTGAAAACGGGAGAGTGCAAGAGCAAATTGAAGAGTCATAACTAAAGATTTTTTGTAAAAAGCCAAAGTTTTACGGAAAAAATCTTGCTGAGAAGACTTGGACTGACTGACTTAGTATATAGGTAGACTGACTTTCTAAAATGACCAACGCATAAAAGCAATAATTCATTAGTCTAAGAATTCTATTTGATGCTTTTACATTTTATAAAGACACAACAGCGAATCATTTCACATTCTTACAGTCTATAACAATAAGGAAACTCCCTAGACCCGTTTATGTCAACTACATACCCAGACATCGACTCTCAAAAAAACTAACTGTGCGTTTTACAATTACGGATAAGGTATATTCAAGAACATTAAATCATTTCTAAAATAAATATTGCTCAATTAATGATTCAATTCTAATCTTCCAGCAAGTCTCTAAATTCGAACTACGATATATAATTGTCAGTCTTTACCATAAGAAGGCAAAGGATATGATATGATAAACATGCAAAATTTGTTTGAATTTATTCAATTTTGCCGTCCTTACTGGACGTACAGAAACTTTCCTAAATAATCAAAAAAGGGAATAGTCTCGCCTGTATATATGAAAAAGATCTCTTTAACAAGGAACATTATAGACCTGAATGTCTATTAACAGCATTTTTGAAAGTATTTGAAAATGCAATAGAGCTCTGGAAAAGAAATTCCCTAACCTTTCATGTGCGTATAGAAATACCTTTCTTCCCGCTCGTTTTAGACTGATGGAGGACTGGAAAAACGGGTTAGAAAGCAACAAATTTATCGGTGCTACATTACAGAGGACAAAAAGTTATCTCTTGCTTGTACAAGATTACCTCACCGCAAGAAAACAAAAAAAAGTTAAAGGACACTAAAGCATCTGGGTAAGGATTGGAGGAGTCCCACAAGAGTCGATATTTGGCCCTCTGCTATTTAATTTTCATAAATCATATTTTGTTTGTACCTCAATAATGGATTACTGTGCTGCTGATGGCAACAAATCATCTGTCAACAAATACAGCTTAACTGGAACAACTTTTTAAGACAAACGCCAACAAATGTCTCGAATGTTTGAAATCCCTCTAAATTTCAAGGTATTGTCATTAAATTTGAAAAATTCCATTAACCATCACAAATCCCACTCCCCAGGTTTTCAGAGGTCTCAATCTTACGCAATGTCTTAAAATTGCTACTACAATTTCATTTTGGCTAAATTCAAGGACTCGTGGTCAGACACCTCAAAGAGTCATAACGGAAAAGATGCAATTCAATTCATTATTGAGATTGAATTATCTTTGTTTAATGACTCAATATGTCATATTTTTGTAAAATTATATGTAACAAGCTATAATATGATAAATCAATACTAAATCTTACAAATAAAAGCGTTATCAAGCAACAAAAACGGGATACCGCATAAAAAGCTAAAATAAACATAAAGAAATAAAACTGCGCTGGGTTGCAAAACAGGCCTGGTCATAAGATTTTAAGCAGTAAACAGCTCTTCTAGTAATTTCCAGGTGAGCTATGTATAAGTAAATAAGAAAAGAAACAAAGGGAAATAGATTTCAAAGAGAGCAATTTGCGTTTTGGAACAACTTAGGAGAGCAATCTGTAGCTCCCCTCTGTCAGTTGAAGGAGCAAGAGGTATGGCTCTCCTCAAACAGCCAGACCTGCATTGCAAAGCTTCTTTGAGGACAAAGCATCAAAAATCAAGGCAATCAAGATAGTATCTCAACCTTAGCTGCAGCTCTCCTAGCAGGCGCTGGTACCAACGATCGAATGTATTTCAGCCAGCACAAATATGGAAAAACTATCCTTCTTCTAATCCTTCTTCGATTTCTCTCTACTCCTCCAGAGCAACGCAAGCAAGAATCTCAGCATTTTAAAGATAACTAAGGGCAACAGCACTGCCAGCGCAAGCAACAACGCAATGACATCGACACAGTAGTATTGAAACCAGTACAGAGTGTTTGCTTTTGACTTCAAATGAGGCAGACGTCCACCATTATCAAGTGCATACTGAACAAGATCTCCGGCTCTTTCTGCACTTGATTTTGGCCAGCTTCGCATACGTTTTGACGTCATCTCTGCATGCTCTTTGTAGCTAGATGAAAAGAATTTTAAAAAAATCACAGTTAAACTTCGAATATCATATGCAAGGTGTTTTAATAATGCTAGTTTTTGTAACGGGAAAGCGGAAGTCAATATTATCGTTCAACTTTATACTAAGTTTCTATTACTGATAATACATTCTTCGATCATATAGGAAAGTAAAAAACCTAAAAAAGGGTGTTACCCCTTTACCCTGCTTGAGGGCACTTGGCAATGGAACATCAAAGATATTTGAGAGAGATGTTGGCGAAGAGTAAAGGGGCGCGTGCTTTTCTGGTAGAGCATCCAGTATGGCCTAAATATTGCACAAGTACAAATGGACGTGAAGATAAATTTGACTCTTAAGTTGCTTGCTAGTAAAGACAAAAGGCCTGGCTCACTTCTATAGACATTAAATTTTAATTAGAGGGTCTAAATACGAAATACAGCTCAAAAATCCCCTTCCTGATTTTAATCGAATGCAGCTGCACGTTTATCCGACAAATTAGCATTTATCCAGATTTCAGCATGGGTCCTTAAACGAGGGTACATCATTTACCTTGAATTGTATATGACTTCTTCGATAGTTCGTTGCCATGTATCTGCGTCAGCATTTACAATGTCAATAAACTTTGCCATTTTTACCCTCTTAGAGAACAGAATTGCATTATGGAACCGTTCGCCTTTAAAGGGCGCAGCGACAATCGGCACACCGTGATACGCAGCTTCAGCGGCTCCGTTTATGCCCATGTGACTAACGAAAGCCTTGGTCTTTTCGTGGCCAAGAATGTCATTCTGGGGTACCCATTTCAGTGCTTTCAGGTTTGGGGGGATTGTCAAGTTTTCCGTGGCTAAGAAAAAGATCAAGATAAATAAAATGAAGAAAATAAAGATAATGAATTTTTTATAGAATACATTTACTTGAAATAGATCGGTAGCTAATGTATGGCGTGTACACTTCATGTTCAGGATACGCGCATACATGTGTTGCGGGGTAAAGTAAGAATTCTTTAGTACGTATACATTAGATATATATATATATATCAACATATTCAAATAGGTATTAAGGCACAAATGAATTAGGCAGCCTAATGGAAACAGCCGTTCAGGAGACTTCGTGGCATGCAGTATCCTGTATGATTCACATGCACAGAGTA